TATTTTTAGTAGAGACGGGGTTTCACCATGTTGACCAGGATGGTCTCGATCTCTTGACCTCGTGATCCACCCGCCTCGGCCTCCCAAAGTGCTGGGATTACAGGCTTGAGCCACCTCGCCCGGCCAATCCTTTTTAACCTAAGGAAAGCAACAGCTTCTATGAACTTCACTTTTTCTTTTTAAACTGAAGATATACAAATGCTTCCTATTTAAAAACTATAAAACAGGCCTGTGGTGACACATGCTTATAACCCCAGCTACTCTGGAGGCTGAGGCAGGAGAAACGCTTGAACTTGAGAGGCAGAGGTTGCAGTGACCCGAGATCGCCCCGATGCACTCCAGCCTGGGCCAGAAGAGCAAAACTCCGTCCCCTCAAAAATAAAAATAAAAACTATAAAACACAACAGAAACACTGGGTTTGTACCTTTAAGTCAGAGGAGAATGCATTCTTATTTATTTGGAAAAACAAAGATAGTGACAACAGTCTTTTGTTGCTGTTTTGTTTTGCTTTTTGTTGTTGTTGACTGCCGCCTATAAGAACTGCTTTACATTGACGAAAGAACCTCTGTTCTGGAATTTTGAACTTGTTGATAACCTCCAGCACTTGTTCATAACTCTGTAACAGCTGTTACCTGTATGAGCCTTCTATTAGTTATTTGTGTATTGCAGTTTCTAGTCTTCCTCTTTCGCTTTCTTTTTTATCCTTGTATTCTCATTCTGCTTATTACAAGGCAGGCACTCAATAAACTTAATGAATTGGACAGGATTTTAAGAGTTCCCAAATTTAGTTATTCTTATTAGGGCATGCCATCTGCTGGTTCCCTGGTGTATCTGTCAGTCAGCGTGAATTCTATAATCTAATACATTGAAATTTGCATTGAAGCATTTGTGTGTCTGTGTGTTGCGCAATTCCTCCCGGCCCCATCCTTCCACTTCCGGTTGCAGGTGCTATTCTTCAATTGAACCAGTCTCGAATTCTTTTTCCTCCAACCCTCTGTTTACCTGTTGGCCACTCTTAAAACCTGGCACAGTGGAGCCTGCGTTTCGCAGCTCCAGAGTGACTGGGACAATGTGACTGGGCATGCTCCTTAGGTAGGGCTGATTTGGGACACACTGCGTCTTGAATGAAGGCTTTCAACGCTGCTTGTTTCAGGAGTCGACGCATCTTCATTGTGGGGTTATATTGAGACATTGCAATCCCTCCCACGCTCTTGGCCGCCACGCTTGTTAATTTTATCCCCGTGCCCAATTTTGTAGCCAGCCTTCCTGGATCTCGCGGCCAATCAAGAGCCTACACATTGTTGCCTAAGAGACCCCGGATGCCAGCAACAGGATTTATAGACGGTGATTGGGCTGCTGGAAGCTGGGAGGGGTGAGGGGCTGGGGGGAGTCAGAGAAAAAGCTGACCTAATGCAACTGTGGCAACGTCAGCGCTTGAGGCTTGAAGCGGGAGACAAGCTAAAAGAGGTGAGAACTGTGGGCAGTGCATGAAAAAGATGGAGACTCTCTTTGGAGAGCTCCAGGGCCTCTCATGAGCCTTCGCAATGCTCCTGGGGATTTTACTGTGCTCTCTCTTTCGGGCTACAGTGCAACTGCCAGGTACTTCATACCTGTGACATTAACAACCCGCAGATAATGATATGCTTACCAAGCACTAGCTCTTTGCGTTGTATTATAGTTCTTGCTTTTTAAAAGCTAGTTAAGTGGAAGATGAATTCGTATTTGAATCTACGCATACCCTATTTCTTGATAATTTGAGATTCCCTTGTCTGATGATATTACAGTGTACGATGGATAAATTCTGTGTTAGCAGAGAGACCCAGTCCTATTCTGCTAAATAAACTACAAATTTAAAAATCCGATAATTCTTTATGTAACCCCAGAGCCCAGTTTATCATGTTCTGAGTTTCACTCTACATTGCTACAATTCTACAAGGTTTTTTGTTGCTGTTGTTGCTTTTGTTTTTGTTTTTTGAGACAGTCTTGCTGTGTTGCCCAGGCTGAACTGCAGTGGTGCAATCGTAGCTCACTGCAGCCTTGAACTTCTGGGCTCAAGCGACCCTTCCACCTCAGCCTCCTGAGTAGCTGGGACTAGTGCCCACCGCCACACCCAGCTATTTTTTTTTTTTTTTTGTAGAGATAGGCCACCTGCCTTGGCCTCCCAAAATGCTGGGATTATAGGCCCGAGCCACCACAGCTGGTCTATGTTTCTACAAGTTTTGGTGGTGGTGATGGTGGTTTTTTATTTTTTGAGATGGGGGTCTCACTCTTTCCCCTAGGGTGGAGTGCATTGGCACGACCTTGGCTCACTACAACCTCTGCTTCCCAGGTTCAAGCAATCCTCCCACTTCAGCCTACCAAGTAGCTGGGACTACAGGCACACACCACCACACTCTGCTAATTTTTTTTGTTTTAGTTTTGTTTTTGGTAGAGATGGGGTTTCATTGTGTTTCCCAGGCTGGTCTTGAACTTGTGAACTCAAGCGACTCACCCACCTTAGCCTCCCAAACATTTCTACAAGTTTTAATCCTTAAACTTCTCCCTACCTCCACTGCTGTAGTCATTTTTTCTATTGATTTAACAACTATCAAGTACCCATTATAAACTACTGTGATGATTCAGGTGAGCAATGAGTGTCAGAAAACCGTATAAGCCAAGAATCATCAGAGTGGTGTGGCACGTTCTCACCATGACCATGAGTTCAGTGTGTCTGGGCAGAAAGTGCACGAAGGTGTGACCAGGTGAGGCTGAAAGGGTAGGTAGAGGTAAAATCATGACAGACCTAGAATTCTGTGCAAGGAGGTCTGGATCTTGTAGCCATCAGTGAACCTCTGAAGGTTTTGAGCTGAAAAGTGACATGATCAACTGGTCTTTTAAAAAATACCTAACAGAGGCCAGGTGTGGTGGCTCATGCCTGTAATCCCAGGACTTTGAGAGGCTGAAGCAAGTGGATCACCTGAGGTCAGGAGTTCAAGACCAGCCTGGCCAACATGGTGAAACCCCATCTTTAAAAAACAAAAAAAAGTTAAAAAAAAAAAATACCTAACAGAGAACGTGAGCTCATTAAAGCAGACCTTTATCTTTGTACTCCTCACACCTGCCTTGTAGGTACTTAATAAGGCAGTTGAATAATGATAACTGTGTGAAGAATGGCTTAGGGCAGGAGGTGGGGGCTAATGCCTGTAATCTCAGCACTTTGGGAGGCTGAGGTGGTGGATTGCTTGAGCCCAGAAGTTCGAGACCAGCTTGAGCAACAAACCGAGACCTTGTCTCTACAAAAAATACAAAAAAATTAGCCAGGTGTGGTAACGGACCTATAGTCTCTGCTACTTAGGAGGCTGACATGGGAGGATTGCTTGAGCCCAGGAGGTTGAGACCGTGTTGAGCTGTGATCACACCACTGCCCTCCAGCCTGGGTGACAGGGCAAGACCCTGTCCAAAAAAAAAAAAAAAATGGCTTAGAAGATCAAATTGGAAGTATGTAGCCAGAGGACCCATCCTTGCTATTGAAAATGAACTAGAACCATATGTCAAGAACTAGGGTCATAGGCCTTCTTTCTGTATTTTCATTCTAAGAAAAATTAAAGATGACTATTTAAAGGTAGTCCTTACAGGGAAGGAGATCACAAAAAAGCAACTGTGGAAGGAGGGAATGACAACTTGCTTTGTTTTGTTGGTGAAGTGGGGGCAATTATGTTTTGTAGGCATTAGAAATCTCTATCAGGTATAACTTTAAGACTGGACGTGGAGAAAAGAAGAAAAAGAAAAAAGAAATCTCTGTAGCTGGGCGCAGTGACTCACGCCTATAATCCCAGCACTTTGGGAAGTCAAGGCAGGTGGATCACTTGAGGTCAGGAGTTCAAGACCAGCCTGACCAACATGGGGAAACCCCATCTCTACTAAAAATACAAAAATTAGCCAGGCGTGGTGGTGCATGCCTGTAATCCCAGCTACTCGGGAGACAGGCAGGAGAATCCCTTGAACCCAGAAGACAGAGGTTGCAGTGAGCCCGCTTATCAAGACCACCTGCATGTCGGGCCCTCTGCTGGACCCTTTTTCTCTAATCTTTGATACAACAGTTGAGGGTGGTTGTATACATCTTCATTTTACAGGTGAGGAAACTGAGTCTCAGGTAGATTAAATAACTGGCATAAAGTTACACAGT